ATAAAAGCAAAGCATTTCAATCTTAGGTTACTCACTTTAATGAAGAAATCAGATATGACAAATTGAGGTTTAGAAATAAAGTGTGATGCTGTGTTGTATGTTCTTAGCCTGTTCGCAAACTGGGAGCTGCTTTTTTGTTCAGCACTGACTTCTTTGTGTTTGTGCATAGTTGTGTGTTCCCTCCTGAGTTCAGGTGAACATGGTTTTAGAGCTTACACTGCCAACTACTACAAGTGCTCAAATAAGTCAGCTTTGAGCTTTCAGTGGACACAAAGAACTAAGTGACTACTGTAGCTGTAACTATTGTTGTACCCGGTACTTTTTACCATACTAACTCTAAGAGACGAGACAGTCCAAGTAACTACAAAACAGTGCTGATTTATTCCATGAACACAGGTAAAAATTAACATTACACGCTCAGGCATCTTGTACCTCCAAACTGCACGCAGGCAGATGTAAGATGAAAGACCCTGAACCCACCAGGCCTATACATTATATCCCCTCGGTTGGGCTAGCCCCATACTACACAGAACCGTCAACCGAGACGTCTCTGTTGCCAGCTTTGCAGCTGGTCATAGCAGTAGTCAAAACATGAAGTAAATCAATGTGTATGTGTCGGTTGGTTAAGGGGGGTGTAGCTAAAAACATTCTCACGACCTCTAGTAACATGTTGTGATATTAAACACAAGAACATATTATGGCTAAGGCTACAGTTATACACGTCATAATAATAATATTGAACACCCTGTCTGCTGACAGTCATCAACTTTTCTCTCTAGTTATCCTTGACCAGATGTACCCTGTAGAAACTCATAAGCATGCCTAAGCATTTAACAGTCTAACTAGACATCCTATCTCCACTAAACATTTCTAATACATAAAGTATCTAACCAATATCAATCTGACTAAAAATACCTAACAATATGATCACAGTTAAAAGTCTTTCCCTCAAACTTTTAAAGATTTATAGTAGCACCGCTTTTAGTTGGTGTTCTAACATTTAATGTGTACATTTAGTGAAAAAGAGAACTACAGTGAGAAGTCCAGAGCCCCCTAATGCAGCTCGGACATATTATGCTTGCCAAAGGAACAAAGGGAACAAATTTGAATACTACCATTACTGCAGCCAAAAATGTGTATTATGACCACTTTGATCACACTTTGCTGGAATATTGCTTTTAGAGCTAAAAAAAAAAAGGTGTAAATTTATTTCATGCAATGTTTGCTTTGGATTTTATCAAACCCAAAAAACACTGAAATGAATTCTTGTATGTCAGCTTTGAAGGACTCAGTAAAAGCATTAACAAACATGGACATTTAAACATTATAAACACAAGCAGGGTGACTGCTCATTTGTAAATACTGTAGGTTGTAAATAGGTGACTGAGAATGACTCTGAATGCAAGGTCTGCGTATCTTACATTTATTGAATCAATTTATGTTGACTCACGTGACCTGCAAGGTCTGCGTATCTTACATTTATTGCATCAATTTATGTTGACTCACATGACCAGTTCTTTTGATTAAAATCCTTTTGAAAAGACCACTCCACTCATTTAGCATTGCACCCATACAACACCCATACACGCCTCACTATGGGCATTTTAAAGGATGGATGCAGCAGAACCAAATATATCACCTTCTGTCTTTCACATATTCATTTTCCTTGCCAAAATCTGATTCCACAGTGCAAATAAATGCTCACATTCCAGTTTGAGGTTTAGGTGCATTATGATAAGAGCGGCGAATGTAGCCTGTACCCTGCAGCAGAGTTCAGGAGCATTTTTTAGAGGTCTTTCAAATGGCACACCCCACCCACCAATTTTTATTTTACATTTCAAACTTGTAGTCTTCAGACTCACTCAGTACTGACTCAAGTGAGATCTGAAGACATTTATCAGACTTCACACATCTCCCTCTGGAGACACCAAAGGCTTTTGTCACAGGTGCAGTAACACTCACCAGCCAGGCCGACAGACTTTGAGCTGGTGCAGTTCCCCTTTACTGCTAATGAAAAGCACTTGTGCCCCGGTAGTGTCAGTAATGACAGCAGCAGTTATTGTTGGAGGTGCTGTTATCATTATATTTTACCACAGGGTTTAGTAAAACTAGTATAAGAGCACATTCCTTCTGTACACTTTAACTTAGCTAGATCTGCACTTTATTTGGTTGAATATTAGCTTAGTTCTAAATCTTCCATTTTTATCCAAGATGGTTCAAGTGCCTCCATCACTATATTTCTTTATTTTAACCTCCTAATTTACCATGCTTATGTAGTATGTAAAATGATTTATATTACAGTATAACATTGTTGTAACCAACTACAAGGACCGATGCAAGTGTTTATTCATATACAATACACTCAACATTTAGCCTGACAGTGAAGTAATTTCTTAAGTATCATGAAATTGGACTGCCCTTCAGATTAAGATTTGTGTGAACTTAGTTAAATAAATAGAACAGTAACACTCAACCTGAGCAGTGACATCCAGTGAACCATCAGTGGTGGTGAAAGTCCATATGCCTGCATTACAGGCACTGTATTCATACAATGGCTACTGCTAGTTGAGTTTAAGCCATCTTTTTTTATGCCTCAGTGCTAAAGAGAAAGCTCCCGGGAATTTTGTCTTCATCCTGCCATCCCCTCATCAGCAGTAGAAGTCCTCCATTTACAGGACACAGAGCTGAGAGGGAATGTAGTGTGCCACAGGGCAGCAGTTACACAGACAGATTACCCGCAAATCCTACCCTGGGGGAATGGAGAGCAGCCACATCAGCAGACTGCACACACGCTCTCTCTCGCTCTCTCACACACCCCTTGGAGTCAGGCTATAACGACAGAGGACCACATACAGCCATGCCACTTCATTTCTGATGCAGGAGGGGAGAGGGTGCTGATATGGCCTGACTGGCTAATGTGAAATGTGAGTGGACTGCCAGGGGAGCAGAGTCCATGTAAGGTCACAGAGGTGATGGAAAGTCATAATAATGATTGAGTCCAATGGCAAAGGTCCTCATGTGAAGGCTGACCTCTCTGCATGCTAAAACCTAGCTGTGAGAAGGACAGTCTTACTGAATATGGATTCCTCCAACTTACAGAAAGTTAGAAATCAGAAAATTTTTTATGCAAATGTAACAACGGTCTCTGTTTGTGAAAGGGCTCGCTGCTAGTGACAAACTCACAGATAATTTTCACCAGTTTCCCTCAATTTGATGGAGTTATTTAGCATCTCTCAGCTCACATTTGTGTTTTATGGATCACAGACCGGTAAATACAGCTTTGTTAAAGATGTACCTTTAAAGGGCTAAGAGAGAGCAAATCTGAAAAATGACACCAGAGAAAAATTCAAGGTCTTATAAAAAGTATCTGCATAGCAACATTTTAAGAGACTGGGCTAATAATCTTTACATTAAACCCTTGCTGTACCCCTTTGTGTTTTAATGAAGCTGTATTGACAGTGTCGTTTTACAAAGTCTACAAAACTGCAGGGTGATGAGAGCAGCTGAGTAATATGTCAGTATTCAAATGCATGTCCACAAAAAGTTATCTTCTTCATTCAAGCATACTACCTAGTGTAACAGATAATAATTATTTATCTGGTGCATTACCGGTATGATAAGGATTATGGTCAGACAAATCTATTGTATAAACTGTGACCTAAACATAAACATGACTCTGCAGTATGAATTCAGTGCTTCAGGCAGTCGTGCTCTGGTTTGCATGTTTTTGACAACAAAACACCATCTAGTGATGACACTGGCTCACGGGAACCGCATGCCAGCTGCACGGCAGCTGAAAGCTGTTCAGATGGGAAGTGCAGTTCTTAGTGGTTGCATCTGTACATCTTAACTTTTCACATAATCACAGAGTTTTGCTGGTATATGACACTGATAGAGGTGATTTCCACCACAGAATTAATACTGTGAGAAAAAACTGCTTTTCTGCTCAAATTTAGGTCATTTCTGTTTGCTGGGATTGGAAAGTTCTTTTCACTTGAATCTTCTGGGCCATGTCCAACCACAATTTAATAGGCATGACTCTGAGGTATAATTTTTGCATCTCACACCAACCTATAGTACGTCATGTGTAATTGGATTGTCAAGTTTTCCGGGGGTTTTACTTCAAACACTGCCCAAACTTGAAAAAGACATGAGCTAATCACAGGGGATGCAGGAATAACTCTATTTTATTTTTGTCTTTTTTATTGAGGCTTTCTTCAGTAGCAAGAAGCAGAAGCAAAACAGGTTGATAACCTTACAAAAGGAAAATGAGAAAGAAAAATACAATGTAACATTATATTGTTGCTACCAACATTATGGGCTCTCTAATCCCACATTGATGTTGCAGGTTTAACTTAAATTTAAAAGAAATACAGCGTCAGGTACACTCTGTACAAATGACTCCATATAGCTAACTTACATAACACAAAGTAACACATGTATACTACCAATAACATAATTTGGAAGAATCAGCTTGTTACACATTGATAAGCCAGCGACATGGCAAACTGGATTGTGTGCAGTAGTGTAAACAAACAAACACAAGAAGAAAGTCCTTCACACTTTGCACTAGTTTATAAACCTAACCAGACATTTGATCAAAAAAAAAAAATCTGGTAAAGTTGATCACAAGCACCAGATGACAATCTACACAATAGGGGTTTTTCTATTATAAGAACCTACAAAAACATTTGTTTTCACTATGGTGCGCCCACTTTGGAGGTGCTTTCCGGGAGCTAAATTTCAGCACCCCTCAGGAGGTAATACTAAAATCAAGTACCAGGAACATGAGGGAGGAGAGGATGTGTGCTCACAGTGCAGTGTCCAGTGACTGGTTAAATGCCCGCATCTTCACACCTCAAGCATTACCATTACAAGCATTGTGTATAAACACACAACTGATTGGGTGTATGAAAGTGGAGCAGCCCCTCCCTCCTCTAACCCACAGAGAGAAAATACAGTGGAAAAACAAAGCAGGATGGTCTACGTCAACCACCAGAAGCTATGCTTGGTGATGGTTAAGGGAAGTAGTGGGTATACTGCTCATTAGGTTCCGATAGTGGAAATGCAGCAAATGTGATAGATTCCCACTTCTTGTGTAGAGAGGAAGTTAAAAATAACAAAGCTGGAGTACTTTTCTATTGGTGAAACACACAAAGTTAAAAACATTTATTTTTACCTTTACTCTATTATGGATCACAACAGATATTCTTTAAATTGTAAGACATGGTTGTTTCATAGGTCTTCACCCACAAAATGATGAACTAAGCTGCAGAACATAAGTAACACATTTGAATCTGTGGTTCCTTATATTTCATAGAAACAGTAACAACATTGGACAAACCTTTCTAGACTCAGTGGGACACTATATAATGAAACCACATTACTGCAGACAGTGCTTGTATCACGTGCTGTGCATGTACACACAGCATTGGTTATTCAGCAGAAAATGGTGATCAGGTGGCCTTATACTGTCGCACAAATGTAAGTTCAAAAAGATTTTTACTTTATTCAGACTAAATCATTATCCTGTAATCAAATGCATATTCAATAGAGACCTAATTAATTTTCAGCCATTCTATTAAATGAGTCTCTTGGAATGTACGGTGCAACATCAGTTTTATGTTCTGAGTTAGAGTTCAACTCTGTATACTATATTTATGATATGAAAGGATCAAAGAGGATACATAGCTTGTGTGCTGTTATTCCTCATTAGGGACAACCTCCAGGATGATCTGTAAGGTTCTGTAGAAGGAATCTGAAATAAAAGAAAGAATGAAAACCATATAATAATGTCATTTCTTGCATTAAATAAGGTAAAATGCTTGACACATGTTAATAAGATTTCGTGGCTGGAAAAGAGAAGGAGGAACATTTAAGATTCACAAATACCATTTTTGAGGTTATAACAACCTGGAAGAGTGCACATTTTAAGATTAGACAACAGAAATGAGACACTATTAGCAAAAATGTGCAATTACCCCATTAGCAAGTGCTTATTAGCATTGCAAAATGGACATGCTTTGTTATGCATGAACAGGCTTTGGATATTCCTGCTACCCGAGGGTTTGCCTCACTTGCTTTCCATAATTATCTTTGAGTTCTTCAGCA